GGGAGGGCACTGCCTTTTCCAGCCAAGGTTTGGAGCGTCCAGCCGGTTCTCTGAGAACCCGAAGCCAGTGCATTCTAGAGAAGAGACCGGTCAATGTGGTCTACTGACTGAATTCGGCCGCCCTGTTTTTTCTGTCGTTTTCAGAAGATCACGTGTGCCTACTCATGAGAGTCCATCGTGATCTGGTTTGTGTTGGCATTCCCTCGGAGTAGGGTCAGAATGGCCTCCGTAGGCTCTTACGTTTGAATGTTTGGTCCCCAGGTAGTAGGACTGTTTGAGAAGGATTGGGAGGTGTGGTCTTGCTGCAGGAGGTGTGTCACTGAGGGTGGGGCTTTGAGGGTTCAAAAGCCCACACCATTGCCAGTTAGCTCTCTCTGCCTCATGGTTATCCATCAGTTGGGAGCTCTCGGCTGCTGCCCCAGCACCTTGCCTGCCTGTCTGTTGCATTTTCCCCACCGGGATGGTCATGGTCTCATTCTCTGAAACTGTGAGCCTCGGATAAACTCTTTCCTCTATAAGTTGTCTTGGTCATGGTGTCTTACTTACCACAGCAATAGAAAAGGAACTAAGACACAGGGGTTGGGGAAGGTCACTGGACCCTTATCTGAGTGTCTAGACACTCCTTCCAGCCATTTCTATATGGTTTTTCCTCAGATTGCACATGGCGTCTGGGGCCTGGGGAAGGGACTAAAATATGTAGGCTGGGGATGGCTAACTGAGAGGGGAATCTATCTGTGTGGCCATAAATACAGACCTGCCATGCAGCTTTGGGGTCACCTCACTCTTGCCTACAACCCCTTATGTATGGTCTGTAAGTAAGCCCAATAAACCAGTGGGTTTCCCAGGGTGAACCTCATGGAATGGAATTTTGGTTTGCCATTGGGACCTTAATAATATTATTATTTTATCTTAAAGATTTTTTTTTAAAATTTTTATTTATGTGTATGCTTGAGTGTCCTCAGACATGAAAAGAAGGAGTTGGATCCTCTCCAGCTAGAATTACAGATGGTGGTGAGCCTCTCTTTGTGGGTGCTGGGAACAAAATTTGGGTCCTCTGGAAGACCCAAATATGTGTAACCACTGAGCCATCTCTCTGGCCGCTCCCTCTGCCTCTGCAAGGAGGAAAGGGAAGTAAGCATGGTTTGTAGGGTTTGGGCAGCTCAGGCCTCTGAGTCACCCTTTC